CGCAAGGGAGGTCCTCTTCTTGATGTCGACGAGTGGCAGACCGCTCTCAAGCTGGCTGGATTCTCTGGTGTTGATGTTGACATCCGCGGTGACCGTGAGGCTTCCAAGGAGCCCGTTTCCCTGATCATCTCCACCAAGCCTGCCAAGGAGGTCGCTGGTCCTTCTGAGTTTGTTGTCATCAGCACTGGTTCTGAGAGCTCTGACAAGCTTGCCGGAGCGATTCAATCTCAATTCGCCAGTGCCGGTCAGAACATCTCGGTCGCCCAGTGGAACACCATCTCCGAGGAGCAAGTCTCCGGAAAGTACTGTCTGTCCCTCGCTGAGTGGGAGAGCCCCATTCTTGCTACTCTCACCGATGAGAACTGGGAGAAGCTTCGCCAAGTCATCTTGAGCTCTGCTGGAACTCTCTGGATCACTGGTGGCGCAGCCATGGACTGTCCCGATCCGATGAAGTCTCTGATGGTCGGTCTCGCCAGAGCCATTCGCAACGAAGACGCCGGTGTCCGCCTTGCTACCCTCGATCTTGAGACTAGTGATAAGATCACCGTCGAGAATGCTGCCAAGAATGTTCTCAAGGTTGCTTTTGAGCATGCCCGCGGGGACGGCTTCGATGGCGAGTATGCCGCTCGTGAGAGCCTCGTCTACGTTCCCCGTGTCGAAAGAACTCTCAAGGTTGATGGCTCCCTGCGCAAGTATGAGGCCAAGGGACAGCCTGAGCTTGTTTCTTTCAAGGGCTGTGGACGTCCTCTCAAGCTTACCATCAAGACCCCTGGTCTCCTCGACACCTTCCGATGGGAGGAGGATGAGACTTACTACCAGCCCATGCCTGAAGACTGGATTGAGATTGAGGTCAAGGCCGTCGGTCTCAACTTCAAGGATGTTCTTGTTGCTCTCGGTAACCTTGCTGAGAACAAGCTCGGTGTCGATGCCTCTGGTGTTATTACCCGCGTCGGATCTGCTGTCACCGACTTCAAGGCTGGTGACCGTGTCATGACGGCTTCCTGCGACACTTTCGCCACTTACGTTCGCTTCCCTGCCAAGGGCGCTATCCCCGTCCCTGAGCACATGAGCTTCGAAGAGGCTGCTTCCATGCCCCTCATCTTTCTGACTGCTTACTACTCTCTTGTCACTGCTGGTGCGCTCTGCAAGGGCGAGAAGATCCTCATCCACGCTGCCGCCGGAGGTGTTGGTCAGGCTGCCATCATGATTGCCCAGCAAAAGGGAGCCAAGATATTCGCCACCGTCGGCCCTGAGGAAAAGAAGCAGCTCATCATGGAGCAGTACGGCATCCCTGAGGACCACATCTTCAGCAGTCGTGACACCAGCTTCGCCAAGGCCATCATGCGCGCAACTAACAACCAGGGTGTGGATGTTGTCCTCAACTCCCTCGCTGGTGAGGCTCTTCGTCTCTCCTGGCACTGTCTGGCCAAGTTTGGACGTTTCCTCGAGATTGGTAAGGCCGACCTCTTCGCCAACACCGGCCTCGACATGAAGCCCTTCCTCGACAACAAGAGCTACATTGGTGTCAACCTCCTCGACTTCGAGAACAACCCCACGCCCCGTGCCGTTGCACTCTGGGAGGACACTGCCAAGCTCATCCATAACGGCTCCGTCAAGCCCATTGCCCCTATCCAGCTCTTCACCATGGCTGAGGTTGAGAAAGCTTTCCGCTACATGCAGGCGGGTAAGCACATGGGCAAGGTCGTTGTGCGCGTTGACGATGCGGACATGGTACCTGCTGTACCTCGCACTCCTCGCGTTGACATCCAAGCTGATGCTACCTACGTCGTCTCCGGTGTTGGTGGTATTTGCAAGGAGATCGGTCGCTGGCTGGCTGAGAAGGGTGCCAAGCACTTGGTCCTTCTCTCTCGTTCTGCTGCCAGCAGTGAGGAGAACAAGGCCTTCGCTTCTGAGCTCCAGCGCACTTACGAGGCCAACACTTACGCTTACGACTGCGATGTTGGAAACAAGGCTGCTCTTCAGCAGGTTCTGGACGACCTCAAGTCTAAGAACGTCCCTGAAATTAAGGGATGCGTCACCGGTGCCATGGTCCTTCGTGTAAGTACACTTCAACTCTTCGTATCGTCACCATTGACTAACACAATCGCAGGATACCCTCTTTGACAAGATGACGGCGGACCACGTCCGAACCACCGTCGGCCCCAAGGTCCACGGCACCTGGAACCTCCACGAGCTGCTCCCTCGTGACCTCGACTTCTTCGTCATGCTCAGCTCTCTGGCTGGTGTCATGGGTCACCGCGGACAGGGCAACTACGGCTGCGGCAACATCTTCCAAGACTACTTCGCCTCTTACCGCCGTAGCCTGGGTTTGCGCGCCATGACAATCGACATCGGTTACCTCCTCAGTGTCGGCTTCGTCGCTGAGCACGACGAGTACGTCGACCACGTCAAGGCCATGGGTCTCAAGGTCATGCACAAGAGCGACCTCCACGGCCTCATGGCGACCGCCTTGGAGGGCACCGATGCCCACCCGCCCCAGGTCATGTGCGGTCTGCCCTTCAACGAACATGATGATGCCTGGTACTGGATCCAGGACCAGCGCTTCGCCGGTCTTCGCAAGACGGCTGCGGGTGCTGGCGCTGCTGGCGGAGCTGCCATCTCCCTCCGTGATGAGCTTTCCCGCTGCGGAAAGTTGGATGATGAGGCTGTGCATCTGATTACTTCTGCACTGGTGCAGCGCTTGGCCAAGTTGATGATGATGCCCGAGGACGATGTCGATGCCGGCAAGCCCCTGAGCGCTTACGGTGTTGACAGTCTGGTTGCGGTTGAGGTGCGCAACTGGATTGCAAAGGAGGTGGCGGTGGAGGTCAGTGTGTTTGATATCATGGCGAATATCCCCATGAGACAGCTTGCTGCGGATTTGGCAGGCAAGAGCAAGCTCTTGGTTCAAGAGTCTTCATAATTTTGTTGAAATTGGCATACGATAGGAGTTTGAGGCTTAGGACTTGGTTTGGTTTTCTTCCGCATTCGGTAGCGTCTTGCTTTGTTACTACGTCTGATATTAGTTTTCAAACGTTTATTTTCATTTGAAGTATAAGTTACAAGGAGAAGCTTTTCTTTGAGATTGAACAAGTGTGGGTTGAGACAAATTCCCAATGTGACCTCTTCATAGGAACCTCATGGTGAGGGTCAGCTCTCATGAATCTCGATAAGTGATTGTTCGAGTCGGTCGTGATAGCACTCTTCGAAGTAGCTACTTTCGCCATAGTAAGATTTCTCATGAATCGTGTCATTCGTAAGTGTCGGAGGCTCCCGACGTTTGTAGATGCTTCCATCTCAACTTTGGTGTTTCCTCGCCGTCTCCCACCTCCCGATGAACTCTCACCTCCAGGAACTGCAGGGAACCATAGAATCAGGGGTGTCCTTGAAAATGGGGTTCTGTCAGAAAACTCCACAATCCAGGGTCTGGAGTGACAGGTTCGCGAACAATCGCACATGACTCGCTGTCGCAAGACAAGGGCTCCTGGCTCTGAGCCCCCCCTGCAACTCGAAGCCATCACCTTTCACTTGTCCACGTGCTCAACCCGCGAAAGTGCTGAAAGAGAGCGGTTTCCGGAATTTCCCATGGAATTCTGATTGAAATAATTCAAAATCCCACCGGCACTCGTCCCCCATTTGGCTTGTCGTAAACCGCAGTCCCTTAAAGCGCCCGAGTGTGCCGCTATTCCGAGCCATTGCAGTCAGTCTCTTGCGTTCGAGGGTTTTCGCAAACGTCACATCAACCCTTGCCGATCATGGCAACCAAATCTGATGCGCCGGCTCCGCAGCCGAAAGAGATGAAGGTGCTCTCACTGGGCATGACAAGGACGGGTAGGTCCAAGATTTCGTTTCCATGTAGCACTCAAGCTACTTTGGCTGACAATCATGGCAGGTTCTGCATCCATCACGCAAGCCCTCACAATCCTGGGCTACGACGGTGTTCACCACGGCATCCAGGCTATCTCCTCCCCCCGCGAGTGGACTCTCTTCTCCGCCGCCGCAGACTCGACCTTCGCCACCCTGCCAACTTACACCGGTGCGCCCTTCCCCCGCGAAAGCTGGGATTCGCTCTTCGGAAAATACGAAGCCGTCACCGACATGGGCTCCTTCTTTGCCGTGCAGCTCATCCAGGCGTACCCCGAAGCGAAGGTCATTCTTGTCGAGCGGGACGTGGACAGCTGGTTCCAGAGCATGGATGAGGCCATCTTCAAGACGACGTGGGGTTGGCGCGCGGATCTCATCATTGACTACCTTGGCCCCCGCTGGGGATTGGCGGGTGGACAGACCCTGAGAAAGATCCTTCTCGGATTCTACGGGGTACACAACGTCAACGAGATGAGAGCTTTCGCCAAGGAGAGGTACAAGAGACATTACGCTGAGGTGCGTGCTGCGGTGTCGAAAGAGAGGCTATTGGAGTTCAATCTCAAGGAGGGCTGGGAGCCGCTGTGCAGTTTTCTTGGCAAAGAAGTCCCAGAGGGAGTTGCATTTCCCGTGGCGAACAAGAGACAGGAGCACCTTGATCGTGTGAGGACGAGGCAGAACCGCTTCTTCAAGCTGGCGATCTTCGTTGGTCTGCGAAAGACGTTGCCTTGGGTGTTGGGAGTTGGTGCTGTGGCGGCTGGTGTCTATTTGATCAAGCCAAAGTGGGCTTTGGATGTGTTGGAGAACGCCCTGAAGACTATCCAGACTCATCTGAGATCTTTGAACTTGTAATGATTGTGTTGTGTAAATATTGAGTACCTAATGATATCTACCTGTCATGAGAATTTGATTTGGCTTTAGATTGGTCTTGGCAGATACAGAACAACCATGCACACATATAGTGTAAATTCTATTAAAGACAGCATACGATGATAGACGGTTTCAGCAATCGAATCTGAAGTCTAACCGCTTGTTTCCCCGATCGGCGTTGTCGATGAGATATTGCTGCTGCTCCTCAATTGACATGGCGTTCCATTGTCTCTCCTTCTGTTTATTCCTCCAAACGTAGTATGCTTTCGTTAGGACATGTATAAGACAATTACTGCGACGTTGATTGCAATGAGATTTTGGTTGCCTCTTGGGTACCACGGAGGATTGTCATCCTTGCGGTAGATGTTTGAGGATGCTATGCCCGAGAGCTGCACCATGATGTTGTAGACCGCGGCGCTGACTGCCCTTGTGCGAACAGAATTGCTAATGCGCGAACACCAGCTCACCTGAGCTGCATGTACCGAAGGGGAGGCAAGCAGCATGAATAGTACGGCGTAAAGAGACCAATTTGAGAGACGTTGTGCTGAGGTATAGATGATAACCAAGAACGGCAAAGACCAGAGTTGCGAGATCAGACCAAAGAGAGATATTTGGTGCTGGTGATGTTAGCTAAGTGGGAACCGGAAAAATGGGAGTAAACTTACGAAATATTCCGTCAGAAAGGTGATGCCCTGTTGTAAAAATTCTCTTAATCACGATACAAGAGGCAGTAAAGTGTGTGGGATTGACTGGACTTACCAACATGGTGCAGCTAGCGGCGACTGTCACTGGGATGTTAAGAAGGGTCGCAGTAAAATGATCGTAACCGATAGCTTTGAGAGAAAGGTTCAAATACTGGCCGGGAGGATCCCCGGGCATCTGGAACAAGATCCCAATGGCATATATCGGCCACAAGTCATAATCCTTCAGACTCTTCCAGAGCATAGCAGGTGTAATCCCCTCTCTGTTGTGCATGTCGGCTTTCGAGGGATCGTCTCGCAGGACACGGTTGACAATGATCTTTTCTTCGCGCTCGGTAAAATATCCAGTCGGTTTCCACCAGCTTTTTGTTTGGGTAGGTCCGGGTACCATGAAGAGAAAGCTCAAGAAACCAATCGTGACGCTGATTATGGCCTCTATAAGAAACAGCCATCGCCAGCCCTCGCGACCTCCGACGCCTCGAAGGTTAAAGACCCCGTAGGCGATGAAGGAGGCGATGACCGAGGACATTGAGTTGACGAACCAGAAGATGGCCAGCCTCATAGGCATCTCGCTGTTCTTGTAGAAGTATGAAAGATACAACAGTGCATCTGGGATGTAGCCTCCCATAGCTAGGCCGATGAAAAATCGGCAGGCGAAGAATGTCGCGCGGTTGGTCATGAAGAACTGGCCGCCGGATGCGATACTCCAAAGGATGATTTGCGTCGGGATCCAGCGGTCTGTGCCAATTTTCTTTCCAATCATTTGTGAAGGCAGCTCGGCAATGAGAAATCCGACGCGATACATGTTTTGCGCGTTGTTGTAGTCGTTCGTGTTGATGCCGAGGTCGTCAACCAGACCGTCTGCTGTGGCGAGTCCAAGGTTTCCACGATCGATGTTGAGGGCGAAGAACATGACCAAAACCCAGATGAAGATGCGTATATCGACCTTTCATTGTCAGAGAAGAAGGCGAATTTCGCGATTGAAGGTTTTGAATACCTTACGGCGAACAGCTTGCTCTTCTCTGTGTGTCCATCTTTCATTTGGGTCAAAGGCACGATAATTCTCGTGCTTTGGTTTGGGGTGGTAGAATTGGGCCAGATCCGGGTTGTCAAAGACACTACGCACAGTAGCAATAGCTTCAGGGTCGGGTCTTTGTCTTTTATTACGAACAAATCCCCAACTTGTGTAGGTTTCTTGTTGAACAGGCGGTTCCGCGAGGTCATCCGTCGGGACCTTTAGATCAGGAATGCCCGTCGAACCGACGTATGGCTGCTTTTTCGAATCAATGCCAATGGACACCATATTTTTACGGCAAGAGAATAAAATCGTGTTACTTTTGAAAGACTTCCAGCAGATCTTGCATCCTTTATTGAACTGGAAATCGACCGGTCAGGCTCCGACATTCGCTGCCAGTCTCGGGGCATTGGCTACCGAAATGATGAAAGACCCCACGAGATGTTAATCATAAAAGCGTTTAACTTTAGACAAATGGGTCGATGGCACGCTAGATTATGCAACTGAACGGTCGAGTTGATCACACAATAGCACGTCATATGACGTCTAGCCAGTCATTGGCCGTTCCGGACCTCGGGAGCCGGGGGCTAGGCCGGAGCGATAAGAGCTATCGGTGAGCTCCACTTTGTCCGGCTCCGCTCCGGCTGCATGTCCTGCTCGGCCCGGGCTGGACTTTAGCCGACGAAGCCCCTCTCAAACGCGCAATAATCCTCCGGATGACAACATTAATTTTATTTTGCTTCTGCATATTAATATTAACCGTGGTTTTCCTTTCTTCCTTCCGTTCAATAGGCTTGGCGACGCGGAGCCATCCGCAACCCGTCTGCTGGCTTCTTGTTCCCGCTGGGCACTCGATTTGGCAGTTTCCCAATTCGGAACCTTGCAGCCAGTCAGAAATAGTTGTCCGCACAGGGCTTTCCGATAAACCCTCTCATTGCCGACATTCACGATGGCGTCATCCCGAAAAACGAGAGTCCGGTGGCTCGGACAGACACCGCCGACAGCCTCAGGGGTCACCTTCGCTGTGCCTTGGCGTGCAGGTGCTTGCAATGCCAAGAATGCCGTGTTTTCGTGCATTTCAGAAAGTGGCAGGTCGATTTCCATGCAAACTTGGCCGATCGCTTATTGGCCTGACGGGACGATCAAATGGACTAGCCATGCCATACCAAAGACAACTGAGGTAGAGGGCGCTTATGATATTAAAGCCGAAGGCGACGACTCCCACGCGACTAGCCATCCTGCTACGATTGACATCAACGAAACTTCCGAGAGTATCAAAATATCGACTGGAAAGATCACAGCTATTTTCCCAAAGTCGGGCACCACAATAATCAAGGACATCATCAATGCCAAAGGCGACACCGTGGGGACCGACGGCCACCTCGTCCTGCTTTCACAAACTGGGATCAGTGATCCCGAAATCCCGGATCCGTCCATTCTATATCACCATTTCAATTGCGAAATCGACAAAGTAGAGCTAGAGCAGGCTGGGCCAATTCGTGCTGTCATAGCTGTAAGCGGAGTGCACTCCGAAGTTTCACGAAGCACTTCGGCCAAGACGGCTTCACACCCGGACTGATCCCCTTCAAACTGCGATTTTATCTATACTATGGATCTGAAGCTATTAAAGTTGTTCACACGATCACGTATAACGGGAACAAAAACGACTTCATCCGAGGCATCGGGATCCGGTTGAAAGTTCCCCTAGCACGCGAGGCCCCTTTCGACCGTCACGTTCGTTTTGCCAGCGCGTCAGGAGGTACACTTGGAGAAAGCGCCCAAGGAAGAGAAGGTGTGTGGGGTTTGCATACAAATCCTCCAAATCATGTGCAATTCCTGGTGAACTGGTGTTCAGCTCATCTTGACTTTGCGCGATGCGCGAACCGATTTCTTCATCTGGAAGAACCAGAGTGCGGGCAATTCCGACGTGATCTGTGCACCGTCACCGGGAACCAGTAAGGAGTTTTGACAGTCGAGGCATGAGGAGACCGCACTGAATTTGAGTTTGTATCCGAAACAAGATCGGCCAAACCTCTTTGTAAGGTTTCGTCTTAACAAATAGCAAACCGGCTCGTTGCACCGAACCCCTCGGCATACTACCGTCTTGCAACAGCACATGTTCGGGGTCATCCATGGTCTGGATCTACGCAATCAATTGCGAAGACAAAAGTCTCTTCATCGGCAAGAAACCGAGTCCGAACGACAAGCCTGACTAAGACTGCCGCGCACTTATGGACCAATGTCTCTGAGCGTAAACGTGAGGAATAAAACCTAACCCAAACCTAACATTTCGGCTGATGCAGTGTTGTCCCGAATGGGATTTTGTTTGTTTCTCTTATCCCGAATGTGAATTGCACTGTGTTGCTCATATCATCCACGTCTTTCAATTACCGCATTAACATCCATCAACACTAAGAGTTCATCTACCATCCAGTCACACAAGTCTGTTTGCTAGAAGCCGCTTTCCCTAACGTCGCTGACTATTGCCCTCATCCATCTCATAAACGAAGTGATCTTGACCCCGAAGTTCGCTCGCTTGGTAACCCTGCGACCCTTGTACCTCGTAAGACGTGCCCTGCGTATGACCGTACTTAGGCCAAGCCTGCTGGGCCATTGCAGTAGTGTATTCTGGATTGTAAGGGGGAGGCATGGATGGAACTGTCTTGCGCTTCTTCGCTCGGAGGAAGCAGAAGATACCTAACCCCGCCGCAGCAAGACCTGCAACTCCTCCCACAGCTATTCCAGCAATGGCGCCCGTGCTAAGACCACTTTGATCTCCGGATGATGACGACCCACCGCTAGCATCGGACCCTGAAGTTGCAGTGCTTGTAGGGAAAACGGCTACCCGCGATGTCTGGGGCTTCCCGCAGTTTGACTTATCACTAGTGACTTTGACGAGGGAGCTTCGTGTTGTAGGATTTGCTTGCCACATTGTGAATGTCTCGGAGTCATGATCTACCATGAGGTAGGCGGCAGTGAGGAAGTAGCGACCCAATGTAGCAGGCTGATCAGACAGACCGCTAATGAGAAGCTCCTTTGTTGACTTGCTGATAGAGCGGGAACCATTTCGTTCAATATCGACATACGGGACGATGTACTGGTTGTTTGGCACTCTGACTTGAAGTCCGGAGCTGAGATAAAAAGTCAGGTCTCCATCAAATCTGCACGAGAAGTTAGCTGCATGTTTTCATACTTCATGCCCGCAGGTAAAAGTAAGGAGGACGCGACGAAGAATATTGTTACTTACGCATCCCCTCCAGCGAACGTCCGAGCCGACCAGTGAAGGCCGAAAGAAACACCGGTATCCTTCGAATTGGTGACGTTCTCAAAAGCATCAACGAATGTTCCGGGGGCCTCCCAGAGGAGATGTCTGTGGGGCACGATGCAGCACTGCAGTGCTGTATTCAGTGGCATGATGCTCTTGTCGCTTCCATCCCGAAAATTGACTTGGACATCCGTGACTGTAACTTTCATTCCCGTCCAGCAGCCTGTTGATTCACTGTAATCTAGACGTTGGGTGAAATTCTTCCCCGTCACTTTCTCCGAGTCGTAGCCCCCCAACACAAGCGAACCGTCGATGTTGTTGTTGGACCACATGCGACCCCAAAATATTGACCACACTCGGGATCCAAGTTGACTCGCTTGTGCCAGGGATGTAAGATACGTCGAACTGGCACCAAGGCCAAGAGCGTGGAGCATGGTGTACCCGTTGTCCCATCTTAATGTTGGGATGCCGATCGGTGTGTTGTTTAGACTCGTGGAACCAATGTCGAGATCATCATTCCCGCCAATACTCGTAGAAATGAGTTTCTTGACCCCAATCTCGGTACCGGCGGTAGTGATTTCCTCCGGTGCACCACCGGCTGATACGATGTCGGTAGCTTTGATAAACGTTGTCGAATCGTCTTCTCGAAACAGGTTTCCCCTTCTAACTTCGCAAATTTCATCGTTCCATATTATGGAAGAGTCACAGTTCGGGTTCGTGTTGTAGATCCAAGTGTTGTTCAGTTCGCTGGCGTTGGAAACTGTTAGTATATCATGTTGGCTGGGTCAAATTGTTAGAGATAGTGCGAACTCACGCCCAGGGCAACATGACAATATTCTGCGAAGGTGTTCCAAGTTTGGCTGGAATGCCTCTCATGTAGGAGTCTGGCACGTTCGGATCAACTTGAACATCCTGGATCGGCAGGGCCACAGGCTCGACATCACACGATGCCAGTGCCAGTGTTGCCCCAAGACCAATGATAAGTCCATACATGTTTCCTATACAAGCATGATGAAAGTTGAGTGATAAGTGTTGAGAGAAAATACGAAGTAAACGTCGGGAAAATTGGTTCAAGTCGATCGACTGGCAGAGGTAAAAAGACAAAGAGAGGGCGCCGAAACTTGGGAAGCGGGTTACATTGCGTCCTTAATCACCGGTTGGTTGGGCCTTGTTGGAACCCGTTGGATGCAGAGCGCCATAACAAATCACGCGCGGAGGATTCGCGCCTTCGGAGCAAACCAACAGGAAATTGCTCCTTGCCAAGATGAACAACCCGACCTGCATCCGACAATATCGTGGAAAGTCCTACGCACTGTAAAATAACTGTGTTGGAACTAGGGATGTCAAAAGCAGGGGAGGGAGCAAGGGGGCGGCGTCGAAATTAAGTTAGCTCGCGCCGGGGGTGCGAGAAGCTGCGCATAACAGAGTTGCTAACAAAACAGTAACAAGATTGTTAGAACCACTCATGCCAGCAGCCGCCGATCTGCCCATCGCCAGGCTGCCTAAGCGCCCGTTGCACCAAAAAATCATTGCTTCGCAGGCACCAACGAGCCAATTATAGATGCTACCTTCAATGCTCTTCTTGCATGAGACCCTCAAGCTTTCGCAAATCCCTGTTCTCTGACAGATGCGCCAACTTTGGCCGACTACATTTCTACCGATGTTCCCGTTCGGTCGCTGTTCCGAGATGGACATCTCATCTCAAAGTTGTTCACCTGGTCCAAAGTGCCATCCGACAGCGCCATGATCGTTCCTCGCCGGCCGCCACGGCTCGCCTTTGTTGTCGTGACAGCATTCATCCTAATTCTCTTCGTCTACAACCCATACTGGCTATCTGCGTCCCAGAGCGCGCCAAGACCAATCCAGCACAACATTCAGTTCAAACCGAGCTCGTTCAATTGGACAACTGCGCGCCAATTCCATCCCGTGTCAACTCCTTTTACGCCTCTTCCGACTGGCAATCCGCTCAAGCTTCCCCGAATTCAGCATGATTTTGGCGTCGCGAATCCGCACCCCGAGGCACCCAAGCGCCAGAAAGCCGTCCGAGACGTCTTCAAGAAGAGCTACGATAGCTACAAGCGTTATGCGTGGATGCGGGACGAGCTTGCGCCGGTCACTGCGGGCGCGAAAGATACTTTCGGAGGATGGGCGGCGTCGCTCGTGGACTCGCTAGACACTTTGTGGATCATGGGCTTCAAGGAAGAGTTTTACGCCGCGGCCGAGGTTGCTGTCCAAATGGATTGGGCAAAGACAGCGGAGAAGAGTGCCAATATGTTCGAAACCACGATCCGTCATTTGGGAGGCCTTCTAAGTGCTTTCGATCTCAGTGGAGAGATTGCTCTCTTGGAGAAGGCGAAGGAGCTGGGAGACATGCTGTACATGGGCTTTGATACGCCCAATCGTATCCCGGGATTCTGGTTGAATTTCGAAGACGCCATCAAGGGAGCTCAGCTCGCAGGCACCCACGATCCATCAGCTTCTCCATGTTCGCTCTCTCTCGAGTTTACTCGTTTATCGCAACTTACGGGAGATATGAAGTACTTCGATGCGGTGAACCGCATCAATCGCTTCCTCGAACGCACTCAATTTCAGTCCAAGCTTCCTGGAATGTGGCCGAAGATGATTGACTTCCAGAATGAGCGCGTTGACGACAACGGATTCACCCTGGGTGCCCTTGCAGACTCTTTGTACGAGTATCTGCCGAAGATGTACGCTCTTATGGGCGGCTTGGACAAATCTTTTGAGAAGATGTACATTGGTGCCATGACGATCGTGGAACAGCACATTCTCTTCCGGCCGATGACACCGGATAACGCCAACATTCTCTTCGCAGGAGATGTTTACGTACACTCCGACAGAATCGACCATGTCGCTGAAGGCCAACATCTGTCTTGCTTCGTTGGTGGAATGCTAGGACTGGGCGGAAAGCTCTTTTCTATCGATGACCACGTCGATCTTGGTGACCGTGTGGCTCGCGGCTGTGCCTGGGCCTACGACGCGATGCCGACTGGCATCATGCCGGAAATCTTCGATCTCATTGGGTGCTTCTCGGTGAAAGACAAGTGCCCCTGGGATGAGAAGAAGTGGGAGCAAGATGGCGACAAGAGACTGAAGAAGGGTTTCCGGAATGCTCGCGACCCCAGGTACATCCTGCGACCCGAGGCCATTGAGAGCGTCTTCCTCCTCTATAGGATGACTGGGAAGCAAGATTTGCAAGATATTGCATGGCGCATGTTCCAGTCCATCATCAAGGCGACTGGGACAGAGTATGCCAACTCAGCCATTGCTGATGTGACTGTTCCCCCCGAGAAAACTCACAAGATAGATTCCATGGAGGTTTGTTTCATCCTTTTCCAGTGTTTCGGCTGTGCATTATTGGATTCCTGGTAGCTGACCCTTGCTTTCACAGAGCTTCTGGCTTTCGGAAACCTTGAAATACTTCTACCTTATCTTCTCGCCCCTTGACTTGGTAAGCTTGGACGACTTCGTGTTCAACACGGAGGCGCACCCTCTTAGAATTCCGAAATAAGACAAACCTGAATTTGGATGGGAAGTAAATCTGGGCAATATTGCACGCATTATCGATGATAAGCAGACAACGGGTTCAGCAGGCGTTCGGGGTCATGATGGGCATGCGGATTTAGATGGCATATACTGTAAAACGATTTCATGTCTGCCAGCCTGCGTAGGGGTGTTCCAGTCACCCACAGATCCAGGCAATATCTTTTTGGGACACTTGATGTCTATGAATTTGCAATCCAATGTGACGAATAGTCTAAGAATTGTGAATTATCTACATACGATGCTGTTCGACTGGAATGGTCTCGTGCACCTTATCTGCGCATGCAGTTATGAGATGGATCTCGATCACAAACTGCGAGTAGCGGCGGACAATGGACTATCTCGAGGCATCGTCCGTCAAAAAGCCTCTAAACTCATCGATTGAGGAAGGTCGTTGAGTTTAATCAGAAATATATTTACACTACTTCCTGCAAGTGGCTGACACGATAATTCGTCTGCAACCCAAAAGTTGCCAACGTCTACAAGAAGACTTTCGGCGCTTACTTATCTCAGTAATCAGTTCATCAAGTTATATCACGCTATTGTATCACATCACGCGATCAAAGTAGCCTGAGCTGCTTGAAGCGCAAGACAATGCCTAGAAAGAAAGACCTGCTTCATTTGATATTTGTGCCGATGTGCAAAGCCCAAGTGTGAGTCTTGACATCACGAAGAATACGGAAATGCGGCATTGGAAAGTCTTGTCTAAGCGTTAAGCATCCGAGAGTCTTGGAAAGTCTTGGTGCGGTTGAGCTTGGCGGTCTGGGCACGAGCACTTACTGCGGGGAGAGGACAATTCCGTGTGGAGGCATTTATTGCCAAGAGACAATAAAAAATGAGGTGCACTATCTTAATCAGATACGTACTGCGATGCCGAGAGACTAATTTGCCTTGGTATGCCTGCCCCTCCGCTTTCTCGCAGCTCAATAGCCGTGCTGAAGAAGGAAGGTCGTTTTGTCATTTCAGCTCGAGTGGTGGGAAAATCAACATCATGGGCTGCTCGAGCTTTGGTGGTCTGAATATCATCGTGTTCGCCTTGGGCCGAGATATCAACGGTGACAACATGAGGCTTTCAACGGATTTGGGCCCTGGTCAACTGCTGCAGACAAGCTGATACCTTTCCGGCTAAGTCCTTTCCCACCTTGGCCATTCGGCTCACAGCTCCCTATTTTGGCTACCAACCTCTCAGGCCCAATGCAACGCTGACGCGATCTCGCTTAGCCATAGCTTTCCTATCTTTCGACGACACGCGATGCCCTCACTGCCTTATCACTCAGACCACTTTACGAACCATGCTTCTCAAGATGCAAATAACCCGACACTCCTCTTCGCCAACTTGACCAAGGAAAATGGATTGAAGCTGGCGAAGGCGAGAGGTGTTTCATGCTTATTTACCTCCTTCCATCCTTGAGCTAGTCTCCGTCTTGTGCACTTGGCAACCCCTTGGCATCCAACAATTGGCAGTGTCTCATTGGCAGCTGATGCTATGCATCGATTCTCGGCATCAATGATCGCTAGGTTCGGTTAAACTTGCTTGGTACTCCCATTGGATCGTAGCAACGTGGCTGGACTGCCGAAATGTGATGAACCCCTGGTCTCTGCGGTCTCGACTGAGCGCAAAAGTCTATCCTTCTCCGGTGGCGTGGCCCGTACAGGGTCCTGAACAGTGCCGCCCGAAGCCGCCAAATCGTGGCGACATGGCGATTTCGTGCGCTTTCTCAATAATTGAGGCTTTCTTTTGATAGGAACTGTTTGCCTAATGTACAACAGGTCTTCTTGAGTACGGGTTAGACGACATTGTCAATGCGTTTGCGTGATATTAATAAAGATACCAGACTTGTTCGTCCTGTTCGTGTGACTACCTTAGAACGGCCCACGATAGCAAGACCCCTTCGGCAGAGGCTCCGGGGGCATTCCATGCGGGGCTGCGATGGGCAATACTCATACTCGAGGTGTTATCTGCAAGGTTGAGAACTTGTCGTCCCAATGTGATCAGCAGCTGCAGCAAACCTTAACGACCATCCGTCTTGATATTAGCTATCCCTTGGCAACGGTCTGCCCTGTCCAACCTACCTTCCATGTTTTCATCCCAAGGCCGTCTAGGCAGACTGGGCGCTGCTTCGTCTTCCTTTTTCTCGCTAGCTCAAGCATCGAGGCCCTTCAATATGCATGTCTGTTACCAGGTCTATGAGATATATGTCAACATCAGCATCGATTGGGAGGAGGGTATTTAGTATAAAGCGGCCGGTATCGAAGCGGCAAGTTCACGGCTCTTCTCCTGTCTCACCACCAACTCATACCTCCTCACAGTCTCTGATCTTGCCTCTTGGTTCCTGTCTCCACAATGAAGTTCTCTCTCGGAGTTTCCCTCCTGGCCACGCTCGCTAGCGCCGTGTCTGTTGACATGGCCAAGCGCGACACCTCCCCTCTCGACGTCAAGCTCGAGACCGTTGGCAACTCTGGTGTCAAGGCCGTGCTCACTAACACCGGTGCCTCTGCCCTCAAGCTCTTCAAGACCGGCACTATTCTTGACACTGCCCCTGTCGAGAAGGTCGAGGTTTTCGCTTCTGGTAATTATTTCTTTCGCGCCCACTCGGAACGGAGCCGAGTGCTAATATCCTCCACCCAGGTAACAAGGTTGAGTTCGATGGTGTCCGTCTCCTGATGGCCACCTCCGGCTTGACCGAGGAAGCTTTCCAGGTCATCGGCGCCGGCGAGTCCGTCGAGGTCGAGTTCGATGCTGCCGAGCTCCACGATCTCAGCACCGCTGGCGAGATCGACATCGTCAGCTCCGGTGCCTTCTCTTACGCCGAGGCCGACTCCACCGAGCTGGCCGGCACCATCCCCTTCTCCAGCAACAGTGTCCACACTGCTGTCAACGGCGAGGAGGCCTCTGCTGTCCGCGCCCGCTTTTTGGCCAAGCGCACGGTCGTTCAGTCCGACTGCACTGGCACCCGCCGCACCGCTACTGTGGGTCTCACCCGGGTCATCTCCGTCTCGCTCCGGCTTCGCGTCGGACACATGCTACCTACCTCCTGTCTGCTGTCGTCCATCAAATAACTGCAGAAATACCTGTCATTCACTTTTTCTCTTTTATTAATTAGACTCACGCTGGGTATTCTGATTGAAGTTCGCTAACATCGTCTTTCCTAGGTCAACGCCATCAGCCGTTGCCGCTCCCTCGCCGTCGCCGCTTCTTCGGCCGCTGCCTCTGGCCCTGCTGCTCGCATGACTGAGTACTTCAAGTCTTCCACGTGAGTTTCTCTCTGAACATTTGAAGCGGAGCCATCGCTAACGCACACGCCATCAGCACCGCTACTCGCAACACCGTCGCCACCGTCTTCTCCAGAATCGCCAGCGAGTGCGGCAGCACCACCTCTGGTGTTTCCCGCCAATACTGCACTGACGTTTACCCTGCCTGCTCCAGCGGTGTCATCGCCTACACACTGTCGGTTCCACCTTGATCCCGATATGCGTTGGTGGAGATGCTGACCATCAACCCAGGCCGTCCCAAAGCTACATGGTTAACTGCCCTCTCTTCTTCACGATGACCGCGGCATCTAGCACTTGTCATGCCCAAGACCAACAGACCACGTAATCAGCCCTCTTTGCGCTTGTTGTAACATACTAACATCTTCGCAGGATGTAAGACAACTCATCCCGATGTTGGAGTGGTGGTGTTGAGGTTTGGGGTCGAGGAGAGAACTGAGGCTAACCATGACATAGCTTGCACGAGATGACTCACCTTACCCAGATTAGAGGCACTTCTGACTGTAAGTTGCTTTCGTTTATTTGATTTGCCCATGGCTCAGGTTATTGGCTACCTGGCAGTCGCGTCCACCTCGGCTTTGGCCTACCTGAGAATGTCACTAACCAACACAACAGACGGCGGTTACGGATACAACTTCGTTCGCTCTCTCAGCGCTTCGCAAAACCTCAACCATGCTGACACTTACAGTACGTCTCTCAATTCCCTCCCTGTATACTCTTTGCTAATGAATTTGTGCAGCCCTCTTCGCTCAATGTAAACCTCCCCGGGTCCTATTCTTGCTTTTCACCTGACATGATACTAACCTGTGAAACAAGCAATCTACGCCGGATGCTAATTGACCAGCGCTTGGGCCCTATTTGACAAATAGAGACCCAGGGACTGGCATATGCTAGGATGCAGCAAATGGGGGATAGCGGTTGGATACTCTTATGTGCGTCTGTGTTGGATTATGCAGTCTCTTCCTTGGGACTTCTTCTGGTCTCTTCACAGTACTTGGGTTAGGGCAGGTCATGAATTGAGAATTCAAATTCGGAGGAAACGATCCGCGTATGACATGAAGGTGATCTTTTGTATTGCACTGTCTACTGATGAACTTGACCAATTGTGACGTAAGTCATGTTCGACTCAACGAAACCCTTTCCTGCGTGGTGGAGGAATAGAGCAATCGCCGTCTTGTCGATCATGCCGTGAGATGAGCCCACTGAGAAGCCTTCGTCGAAAAGTCGAGGGTGGGCCAAACAGCCGTCATGCAGTTACGTCCATACCAAATCCATCCGAAAGACTGGTGCTGGCCACTTCAGCCTGTCCAATCACACCAGGCAGCTCATCAAGGGCTGTAAATGTCTTCCTCCTCGTCCACGTGAGCACCAAACGCATCGTTTATTTTGCTGTTGTCATTGTTGGCATGCAACTTCGAGTTTGACGATAAGCGGGTGCTGCCAGGGGGTCTGTTATTCAGGTAAAGACGGCGGAGCAAGTCCTGTGCTCTTTGGACGTCTTCGCTGGTTGGCATGTCCCCGGTTGGTAGCATTTCCACAAGGACGCAAAGCACCTTTCCCAACTCGTTGTGATCGATGAAAACTTCGTTTTCGGGGCTGCATAAGATGAAAGAGAGTTTCTGAATGAACTTCGCGTCGAGGGTCGCGGCCTTGGGATGCTCGAAAGTGCGTGGCCACACAGTCTGGAAGATTTGAGTCGGTAAATACAACATTTTAAATCTTGAAAGAAAACCTTACCCGAATCTGGGAGAGAGCAGACTCTGCCTGGGACATGGAGATGATTGTCTCAGCGCGCGTGAGGTCCATGATAGGCTTATACCGCTGATAGAGAGGGTTCGACGTCGAATCTCCCATGAGTGTCAGCCATTGAGCTACCCTTGCGGCAGCGGCTGTCTTCTCTTTCTGGATCTCGGCGGAGTTGATGTTGGCCATCATATTTTCTAGTTGGCGAGGAGCCTCGTTCTCATCTGTTCGCAAAATTGTGGCAAAGGGCTCTCCGCTGTTGCCGGTACTGTCACCGTTGTTGACCGCTGTTTCCGTCCGCTGGTGCCTTCCGCTGTCGTCGCTGCCGTCATCGCTGTCGTCGGTATCCTCACCACTGTCGTCGGTATCGTCGCTGCTGACATACGCTGCTGACTTCCGTCGGTGTCCGCTGCCTTTGTCGCCGGTCTCCTTGGTGAGATTGTCATCGATGGCTCTGGGCATTTTGGCAGTCAAGGCAGCATAGCCAACATCCCAAGCGTTTTGAATCGCTTGGTCGGCGACTGTGTCTGGCGCGTTGTTCAAGTTGACGCCTTCGAGCCACTCGGGGTGAAAGAAAATCTGTTTTCTGCCACCGGGAACATTATAACCCACAGGAGGGGCACCATCGACTCCCGTACCAACCAACACCAGGTTATATGTGCGATGTCTTGAGCCCTTCTTTTCCTTTGCAGCTTTGCTAGAGCTGGTGGTCGGAGCGCCGGAAGCCAAAGGCAGTCCAACTCTGAAGCAAGATCCCGCGAGGGTCCTTTGAGTGGCATTGTCGGACGTGAAGTTGTTTTGCTCCGGCTTGTGGGCTTTCGGGATGTAGTATCCGAGGCTCATGACTTGAATTGCCTTGTGGTAGATATCCGCATCAGGCTTGCCGATGTCCCATTCCGAGATCTCCACTTGACCAGGCAATGTGTTGTCAGTCCAGGCCTTGTGTTCGCCCGTCTCGGGGTCAATCATATCCGTCAGGTGCTTCTTCGTTTGCATTTTCTTGGGCGTAGGATGTCTGACCCAAACCAACTGTCGTCGCGGTCTTGAGGGGTACTGATCATCGAACCTAAGCCTTCCTGCAGGCTGGTAGGCCATGGTTTGATTTCCCATGGCCATAGTGATTTCAGCCTGGAGAAAGTGTTACTAGCTAGTGTTAATTCTTGGTGGCCACTGTGTCTCCAAAACAGGGGAAAAGCAAGAGCAAGAAAGGAATCAAAAGAAAAAAGCAAAAAGAGTCCACCCTATTTCCCTGTGTCTGCGCGACTGTATCTCCTGTGTACTTGATAATTCCTGCCGAAGACGATGGTCGCGTCGCCAAACGACGAGCGAAGACCACAGACGACGACGAAAGTGACGCAGAGTAAATGACCACAGGAAAGTCAGTCGCTCCAGCACAGTGAAAACAGCCGGTCTCATCGAAATGGAAAGATAGCGGTGTGACATACAGTTTTCTGCTCGTTTTGGGACAAAGTGAGGGTAGAAGAGATGAGTTGCAACCGCAGGCTTCAGAATGGCCAGCTTGGACGGATCGACGGAGTTCTTCGTAATAAAGTCAGCGGCAAAGGAGAGGGCGGTGTGAACCTGGTCGGGAGATCGCTTGCTCCCAGTCACCGGGTTGACATATACCAATGTGTCGTTGCAATGTACGAAGATGGGTGCAAACTTGTCTTTCGCGTGGGCGAGCAAATCTGGGAAGCGCTCTCTGAAGTATGCCTCTAGACGATGTCCAATCTCGAACTGCGGCAGGTTGATGTTGCAGTCGGGTCCGTATCTTACCGGGATGTCCGGATAGATGACTTTGCCGATGATGTCGAAAAGGCCATTGCCGATCCGGAGTTGGCGATGCAGGCGGTAGACGGAGTGTCCGCTGGCCATGAAGAAGCCCTGGGCGGAAACGCGGCCATCATGTGAGAACTGATTGTTGACATGACCAGAGGCGTCGAGAGAGCTCTGGTCAGTCAGCACGAAGGATGGCAGCTGTTCTGGATCTCCACCACACAGCAACGGCAACATCTCATTGCCCCAGGCGGTTATGAGGTCGCCGCGATCCATGTTCGCTGCCTCATCGATGGCAACGGCCTTTGCGTCGGATCGCCAGTCTTTATAGACCTCATTGGTGTTGACAATCATGGCCGGTGTGGTGGCCAGGACTTCAGCCATCGCCACGAGTCGATCCATGATGATCTGGACGGTCTTCATGTGGTCTGGCGGACAGCCGGAGTTGCCAGCGTATGCGTCCCACGAGATCCGTCCAGTGGCCATGTCTCGAAGGCTAGTCCAATCTCCCCGGGCGTCAACTTCATGCTGGAGCTCATGCAGCTCCGTCTTGTCATCATCGTGAAGTTCGCGTACAGAAGGCGACCGTAGAAGCACCAGGACCCAGAAGGCCAAAGACAAGTCAAGGCGCCAGTGTGAAATGCCGCCGAATTTGCGAGGGGCAGCCGCGTCGCCGAGCTTCGGGTCTTTCAGCAGACTACTGAAGGCAGCGATCTCGTCCTTCCGCTTGTAACCACGGAGTATCATTCTGTAGAGAGCTCGAGGCGTTTCGTCAGGAAGATTGTCGTTGTGCCGGTCGCACACTGCCATGGTGATCCTGTAGGTACGGACCGCGAGATTGGTAACGGCCACGTTAGACGGGGCCGTGCAGAAGACACGACCAAAGCTGTACTCCATAGCGAGAATATTTTTTGCCATCTCAGTAGTCTTTCCGTAGCCCGGGCCCTGTCAACTGGTTAGCCTTCTTCTCGCCCATGCGGCAAGGGACGAAACATACTGCATTGATGATGGCGAGTCCGAGTAGAACCTCGCGGAAAAACACGGGCCAACGTTGTCGATCCTCTGGAAGACAAACGCTTGCCTAAGCCTCCTCGTACCGAGCGTCTCTACCGGGGAGGTATGACTTCTTGGGAACGGGGCGTAAAGGAAGCACGCTCTTGTTGATTGTGGCGGACACCGTTGGCTCTGTGACCTCGTTTGCACCCTGGTCACCAGCTGCAGGAGCAGGCACGGGAGGCCGCATCGCCATCATCCACTCCGCGTAGCCTTGGCCACGCATCGTGAGTCGCGCGAGATGAGCGCTATCCGTGTCAGACTCCCACAAGCTGTTGATGGCGATTATTTTCCGCTCTATATCAGTCAGGATGTCGTCAAAGAAGAGACTGACGCAGTTCTAGTGCGCGTCGCCAGCTTCATCGACCTCTGACCGGCTTGAGAAAGTCGAGACATCGCATCGACTACCTGCCTCCTCAGGTGGCGGCCGCGACGTGACAAGCACCACGTCGGACTCTCCTGTAGGATGAGACGCAAGAGCCTGGATGCCGCCCGTGTAGGTGATGAAATGGGATTTCCTTACAGAGGTTAATGCGAGGGAATCAAATCAACTTTATGGACATGACTTACCAGAATCCGCTGGGCACCTTGCTGTCGGGAAACTCCCATCTTGCGAGAGACACTTGGCACGTACGGCGGTCGATTAGGCGCTGCCAGGCAGGCCTGTACTTGTCCACAAACTCCTTTGGGAGGGTGAGAATAGCATAGTACTTATCGTCGCGATCGGGGACAGGGATGAAGTAGGCGCGCAGCTTGGTCTCGGCGATGCACCGGGCCTGTTTCCACAGGTACAGCGAATCCTGCATCAGCGACTGAGTCGTGACAGTCAGCATCGCGTTGTCATCATTGAAGCTATGAAAGGTGATCAGTCTTGAACGGAAACACAATTGACAGGTGACGATACCTGTGGGAAACATTGTACGCGTGATTGCGAGGGTTGCTGGCCATGGATAATGCGGAACGTTCAGGATTGAAGGTATGAAGCGTTCCATAAGGGTGATCGAAGGGCGGGGGAAGTTGCTCCAAGCTGAAGTAGAACTTCGCGCTGTGGGGCTGGAGCTCGACCAAAACGTGGAACGTGTTACTGCGAACGAAGTCGATAAAAGCGACTCCGCCAATGAGCGGACAGTTCTCGTTGACGAACTTCTCAAGTTCGGGTTCCGATTTGTTGATGTAAGGCATACCCATGCCTTCGACACAGACCTTGTCCTTGTCGTCTTCATCGGATGAAAAGGTGATTACCGTCTGTCCACCACCACCTTTCAACCCGGGAAATCTGCCAAGCAGCTCGGGAGACGCGGCCTCGAAGGTCTGAGTCCACTTCTCACGACGGAATCGGATTCCAATCCGCAGCTCCGCAGAAGGGCGGTATACCCCATCAGCCTGGCTGTCTGCGCAAGTGTCAGCATTGAGTCAAATCAAAAAAGCTGTGTACGTAATAAAGGATTCTTACAAACAAACCGTGCGCCGTGACCTCTGTCCTCGTTGTCTATACCCTCGGGAAAATACAGAAACAGGGTGATAGAGGGCTCGTGTCCTTGGGTTGTCTCGACGCGGATCTTGGCCTTGATCTTGATGTCGTTGCCGAGTTTGATGCCGGATGCAAGAATAGGACCGGAAAAATCGTGAACGAAGACGGCGCAGGTTCTGACCAGAGACTGCGTGTAGCCCTTGTTCTTCTTGGGAGGCATGATGCTGTTCTGTCGCGCTCAAGGTCAGTCAAGTTTCAAAAGTTATGCTGTCAGACGAGTTACCGAAACGCCCTGAAAACCGAATCCTGCTGCTTGGGAGCGATCGCGTAGGTCAGCCGGTTGGCGTGGACGAGTGAAGAGAAAAAACAAATTCGACGGAGGCGGCGCGAAGTTCAGATCTACGGATCGTAGCTAGGTGCCTCGCACCCTGAGATAGACCCACATATTTTCAACTGCCGAAGGGTCTGGCGAATCAAATTCTTGCGTTATGCGCACAAAACCACCTAAATTCGAAATCCACTCCAGTATCCCGCCCGTTAAGTACCTTCCTCACCTTACAGTAAATAGTTTTGGTACAGTAAATACCTTGTAGTTTTGGTACGTCAGTAGAGTACAAGGCTACTATGGAGGGAGTGTAGGTACATTGTTGGAAGGACCGAACAATTGACGCTACAGGATGCCTTTGTACTATTCGTAACATTCTGAGGCACAGGCCATCTAGCAACGACGACAACCACACTGACTACGACATCAATCCGGCTTGAAAAGAGTGGCCATCTGCTCCAAGCACCGACAATGGTGGTCACGATGAAGTAGGCAAATCGAATAACATCAAAGTCTCTTCATCATGCTGAGCGTGAGCTGCTTTGCATATTGGTTCATCTCCACCGTCAGCACATCGGGTGCTTTGGTGGTGGGTATCTCCGCGATCTGTCAAGTTTCATCGTAACAGCTGTGAGTACCTTACGTAGGCATCGGTCGTGTCGATATCGAGGCTGGAGGGAAGTAATATTACAAGTGGAAGAGGGTCTTCTTGGACCTACAGATGGCTTCAGTCTGGAAGATCAAATTAGAGGACACGCTTGAGGTGGTTGCGCGCAGGGCTTCTTCAAGAGGCTTCTTCATCAACATATAAACCATTCCAACCAGAAAGCTCAGAACAATTCAAGCATGACCACTGATCTCAGAAATGGCGACGGGGGCTACTAGCCATATCCCAGGCATGCGGCGCAGCGCGTTGCAGCTGTGTTGTAAGCCAAAGAGACAGCAACAATGAATAGCACCTGGATCTTCATCCCACCACACGAGCAGACCAAGTCGGCAGCCGATGCCAGGGTTCACTCGTCAGGTGTAATCCCAATGTTGTCCTAAAGTCGCGCAAGTTTCCTGTCATCAACTCAGACATGGCATGGGGAACGCACTTCAAGAGTTCTATTAGGGCATAATTAGTGTCTATGTGCGGAGTCCGATGGTGACAGAGTCTTTGCACCCTTGATTTCCTATGTCAGTGTGTCTTTCTCTCGGCTCAGATGCCCTGGTCTTTGATCTTCAAACGATAGTCTGTAGTAGTAGTTTTGCTAAGAATCAGTCTCAAAGAAGCCACTCTCAGACCCTGCTTCCTTTGGGAGTTTTCCTGTGTCATTCATTTGCTTCTATTGACAACCAGCCAATTTGATATCAAGCACGTTCCACAACCCTTGCGTTGCATAAACCTTGCCGTATTCGACCCCGGGAACCCGACCGCTCCTCGCCTGTTCGGCCGTTGACATGAAGTCCGTCGAATACCCTTGTCATGGACAAAAGTCGTTCCGCCTATTCATCGTGACTTACTGGACCCGTGGTTCATTGGCCCGACTTGCCTATTTTCACCCGATCAAGACATTCCACCGTCGCATTGGGACAGGCCCCTGCCCTTGACACTTTGGGAATGACTCGTCCTCAGAAACTGCGTGTTTGGTGTTGCACCCGAGCTCACAGGGTAATTGAATTCGCCATGGCATTGGCTTGGCTCATCCCACCACAATAAGGTCAGCAGAGCTAAGCAGGCCTCGACCATCGATATTGGAAACCAGAAACGAGCCAGCGAAAGAAGGTTGCAACCTGCATCAGACGGTGGATCGTGGAATGAGGTCAAATGTCACCTCGTTGCTTGAAGTCTGGTCATCCAACGATGTTCGATGACGGCTAGAGTCTAGGCCGTAAGCGAACGGAATCACCGCCGAAGTGAGACTCAAGTGTATCGTCCAGATTCTGCGTTACGTTCGTGATAGCTCCGCTTCTTCCTTTTCCCGAGGCGCAGGTCGGGTTTCCACAGTCAATGGGACGGTTGCCCACCAGGGCTGAAAGCTGACTTCTACATCAAACGACACCTCTCCGGCTGAGCAAACCCCGGTGCGAAGCCCGACTTTCATAAGTCGTCATGCCGTCGTGGCTTAGAAATTGTGCATATCTCAAAGATCCTCTTTTTCAGCCACAGCCACTTCTGTTTGAGTGGGGTGGGACGCGAGGCGGTGGCTACGTCGTTTAAGAGGTAAGCAACAGCAACAGAGTTCAAATTTACTGTACAAAATCTCCACGACCAATTTTTTAAGCATAACGCATCGAATGAACTCTGTGCTGGCAACATTGCACCGAAAAAAAAATCCTGTTTGCTTTTCGCCGCTTTTGTTTCATCCCTTTTCATCTGGATTGGGGCTGAGAGAGGTGGCCCTCCACTCGCTTGCTTCCGGATTGATTGCGCGACGTGGGCTTCTGCAGGGATAAAAAGGTGGCAGCCAGGGAGCTAGGGCCTATATTTGACAAACTAAGAATAACATTAATTAAAGTTCTGCTCTCCCGTTGCTCGGCTCGACTCAACCCACCAAGGAAATGCCTGCAGACATCCTGTTTCAGGTCCTGTCGCTTGGTGGCTCACGCTCGGGTCGAGTTGTCGTTGTCAACTGCTGACGTTGTCCCATGCGAATGACAGAACGCCACGGCCGTAAATGGGACCCCGGGAGGCCTGCCCAGCATCTTCGAAAATTGCGGTTCCCACAGATTCGAATCTTTGACGCGATCACCATGTTCAAGCCGTCTCCAAACCCTCCAGGTTCTTCACCAAAAGGGGCCCGACGGAGTTATCGTCCCGCGAGAAGATGCCTCGATTCGGCTTGCCGCCCTGGTCCCGTCCAATGCGTCATGCAGTGATGGATGCCGATCACCTCGGCACTCCCCGGATTTTCTGTCGTTTTCGCTCTCCCGACAGTCCAACTGCCAGAGTGTGAGCCGGTCCAGCGGACTCAGCGTCGCGTCTCATCGTGAATGCGAGGATGAATGCGTGGTAGCGAGCATTCGTCCGTCAGCCTCATGCCTTCCGCCAACGACACGTTACGACGCAGTGCGACTCCAATAGATGAGTCCAAGGTTTGGAAGTATAGATGCGGCGCCTCCTTAAGTTTCGATTGCCGCTGGGTCGGGGCCGCCGCCGGAACATGGCGTCAACCAACGGTCCAACGGTCAACGTTTGTTGTCAAGGGGTTGACCATGCGGGCGGCCGGTAGACCATCCCGACTGCCGTCTTGGTCTCATGCTGGCACCACCCGGGATGCATTCAGTGAGTGCCATTCAGGTCTGCCACAATGGCCCAGGCTCTGACCATCCATGGCCGACACTGCTCCCACAAGACGTGGCTGTCCGCGCAGCGCTCCCGGTGAATGGCCCAACCACAACCCCGGCCCCGACCGCCGATCGCGCCGAGACTTTTCTCTCCACTACCCCCGTGCGAAATAGATTGTTTTGTGGTCCAGGTGGCCAGCCCCGGCGCTCCGCCTTTGTCGTCCGTCCAATGTCTGTCGGTGCTCTGCTGAGGGCCGAGCAAACGCTTGCGGACGGAGGCACTCCGACCTCGCGTCCGCCAAGACCTCAACTTCCTTTTACGGGCGATAGTCTGGTTTGGGCGAGATGGTCGTGCCTGGAGCTCAGGAGTCGGGGACTCGGGAGAGATGGAGACGGGATTGCGGTCCTTGACTCCACGATGTGGAAAGCCCAACGTCTGAACCCGTGTCTGGGCGAGCGGTTGATCTGAGTATAAGAGAACTCGTCCAGTCCGCTGATATTCAGGTTTCTCTTTCTCCAAGCATCCCACTTCGTCCTTCACTTCACCAGCATTGCTCTCCAGCTCATACCCTTCCTTCTTTGAACCAATTCACTCTTTGCTCTGTGAGCTTTTCATCCGTTCTCTTCACTACCCACAAACACCCGTTTCCACACGAACCCAAACAACCAACAAGATGTACTCCAAGGCCTTCCTTACCGCCCTCTTCGGCGCCTCTGTCGTCTCTGCCCACGGCTTCGTCGAGAAGATCACCGCTGGTGGCAAGTCCGTCGACGGTCTCAACCCTTCCAGCTACCCCTACGCGAGCACCAAGCCCACCACCCCTGGATGGGCCGCCACCAACACTGACCTCGGCTTCGTCGCCCCTGACGCCACTGGCGACGCCGACATCATCTGCCACCGCGGTGCTACCCCCGGTACCTCCTCCATCTCTGTTGCCGCCGGTTCTACCGTCACCCTTAAGGTAAGCTACCACGCTGACATGGTCCTATCTCCGACTTTAACTAATGTTTTCCTTTCCAGTGGAACACCTGGCCCGACTCCCACAAGGGCCCCATCATGGACTACCTCGCCAAGTGCTCGGGCGACTGCACCTCCGCCACCAAGGCCGACCTGAAGTTCTTCAAGATCGCCGAGAAGGGTCTGTCCGGCTCTACCTGGGCCGCTGACGAGCTCCTCTCCAACAATCTCGAGTGGACCGTCAACATCCCCAGCGACATCGCCGCTGGCAACTACGTCCTCCGCCACGAGATCCTGGCTCTTCACTCTGCCGGCTCTGAGAACGGCGCCCAGTTCTACCCCCAGTGCATCAACCTCGAGGTCACTGGCGGTGGCTCTGCCAACCCCTCTGGTGTTGCTGGCACCAGCCTGTACACCGCCAAGGACGACGGTGTCATCTTCGACAGTGAGTTAATCCCGTGCATTCTTGATCAACAACATGCTAATCATTCATGCAGTCTACAGCAACCCCACCAGCTACCCCATCCCGGGTCCCGCTGTCTACTCCTCCAAGAAGCGCAGCCACCCCCGCGACCTCTTCATCGTCGACTAAATGGTTTGTCGACATCATCAACGCACGGGTGCGTAGTGTGGGAGTGAAGTTCACCGCAAAGACAGACGGCAGGCC